TACTTTATGTGCTATTGCCAAAATACTTCTTTTCGTAACTTTCTCGAAACAAAGATTTTGTAAATTAGCAACATTTATTTGAAGAGTATCGCCTTGTCTTTCCCATAACAAACCTAATACATTCGCAATAGATTTCTGTTTCTAAACTACAGTCGGTATATTCCCAACCCCGCAATTCAAATTTTCGTTCTGCCATAACATCTGAAGATACTTTCATGAAGCGCTGTAATTCATCTTCACTTCCAACACTTGTTACACAGTTATCAACATAGAAACTATTCATTAATTTAACAATAATGTTGGAAGGATATTTTACATCTGCATCATTTTTCTCTCAAAATTGAATTTAAGTGATATTGAATAACAGCTCCAAGTAAAAATGGACTACTAGGTTACACCAAATACGACTCGACAATGACGAAAATGCTTCAAGCCATCTTCACCCTTTATCCAAAGAAATCGGAGGAAGTTTCTGTCACTAGAATTCAGGCCAATTTGTAGAAAGGCCTTACGAATATCAGAAATCACCCCTATTTTTTCTTGGCGAAATCTATTTAAGATTGTAGGAATAAATGAAATAAGGTTTAATCCCTTTTCAAGACAATCGTTGAGACTCGGAGAAACCCTTTGCTTTAGACGAAGCGTCAAATACTGGCCGTAACTTCGTAGTACTATGTTCCTTAACAACATGTCTATGTGGCAAATAATGATGGGGTAAATCTAATTCATTTACGGGTACTTCCTCTATTATGCCCTCTTTGAGCCATTCTTGGAATATATTTTCATACTCTTGGCGAAGAGATTATCTATTTCAAGTTGCCTAATCGTACCGTGCAACCTTTTAAGCGATAACTCAAAATTATCCGACAGGGGAGGGTGCCCTTCCAACCAAGGCAAAGACACTACAAAGCGGTCATCTTCTATTTTTACAGTATCAAGAAAATGTTGCCTGGTAGCCTCATACAATTCCAATTTAGTCTTTTGTTCGGATGGGTCCGTAATACCAAGCGAGTCGAGGGCCCATAAATCAGAAATACAAGCCTCTTTATTCAACATTGATGTAACTAAGAATGTTGAACCTTCACTATTCAACTCCCCGGTTTTTCCCATAACCGTCCATCCTAACTTTGTCTCAATAGCCACAAGACCGTTTGAAATTTGTTTACGATTCCCCGTTAATAATCGTCCTGCAACATCGGCTCCTATTAAAATTTCTATGGGTCCTTCTAAACGATCTGTTAAACTTATTCCACAGTCAGCAAGCTCTTTAAGCCATATTCCTTGTCCAATAGAAGGTATATTATTACAAATAACAGGCTGACTTAACGCATCAAAATTACAACTGTACGAGCCAGACATATTAGATAAATGAATTTTGTAAACTTTATGTTCACACAAACTGGTCGTTGTACCGCCAAATAATGCGTGGCTAAGGTATTCCTTTACCGTATACCTGTAACCCATATCTTGAGCTGCGCTTTGCAGAATATATGACCTTTGAGAACCAGTATCAATTATAGCTCGAGCCGAACGAGATTTTTTATCTCCTTTAATTATTACTCTTATTGTTTGCAGCAAAACTTTAGGAGACCTTGAAGAAATGTTGGCGAGTGTTTCAGCCTGATTTGGAGGCTGTTCCGTTGCCTTGTCTCACTCATTTGTGAATGGCCCTTACATAGAAAAATATGATGCCTTTTGCCGCATGTAAAACAAACTGTTTTTAATCTACACCTCCTGACAGAATGTCCAGATTTCAGACACAGATAACAAGAGCGTGTCCTTTGGACCAAAACTTCTCTTTCTGACAACGATAAGTTACGCGCCTGAAAACATTCCGCAGAACCATGATTTATACTGGAACAAAATATGCAGCCTTTTCTAGCTTCATTAGAAGAAGTAAACAGTTCAGCTGCCGTAGGTTTTAAGTGAGGTTCTCTTATCTTTAAACCCGAATTCCCTTTCTTATTACCGTGAGCCAATCGATCGAAAAACATTGAAAGATTTAGCTGCTAAAGAAATTCTTTCCTCACTTTCAACTTCACCGCGCAAGAAACATAAAAGGCGCTCAAGGTCAGATTCCCTTTCTCTTAACTGGGCGTTTTCGCCGGTTAAAACTTTCTGATCCTTTACGCGAAAACCTAAGTCTCTCCCACGTTTTTAAGACTTCATTCGGCAATGCTGATTCTACCAATGGATATAATATCGCGCAATATTTGCCTCTATTTATTCCCAATATCTCCAAGGCTCTTAGATTAGATTCGAGTTCATCGTATAGTTTCCGCAAAGAGTGTGTACCTTGTTTTTGAATAACAAGGGTTAGCAAATCACGAATATAAATCTCCGTTAGTAATTCTTTGTTACCAAAACGCGTCTGCAATGCTTCGATTGCGCTCTTGTAACTATCGCCAGTTGGCGGAAAGCTTTTAACTATTTCCTCTGCAGGAGAATTCTTCTCCATAGCCTGTGCTAAATAAGCAAATTTATCATTATTATCTAATGTAGGATCTTTATCAATCTTTTGGAATTGCCCCCAAAATCCTAGCCATTTCTTCACGTTGCCGTCAAAGATAGGCAATTTAATCTTCGGATAATGTAACATTTTATTCTGAACAAAGGACGGATCAATTAAAGTTACATTCGGGGTTCCAGAAGTGAGATCTTTTACTTTACTTTCCAGAAGTCTCCACCTATCAAAATATAATTCAGATTCATCTATTTCCTTAATAAGTAAAGTCTCATCTGTAATTTCTTTAAACATTAATTCTCGTATTTTCATTTCAGTATCAAACAAAACTTTAGCTTTCTCGGCAATAACTTTTATTTTAATTAATTTTTCTTCCTGATTAAATTTAGTTTCTTCATTGTCAAATTCATTACAAGCTTTACTGAATAGTCTTCTATATTGAGTTCGTGCTAATTTAAAGCTTCCATGATTCAAAAATAAAAAAGTCGCTTACCTTGCAGACAATATCCTGTCGCTTGATGCCAAATGTTGATTTTTCCGATAATAATCCTATGTGCTATATCTGACTTCGAATCTAAAATTTTCTGAAGAACACAAAAACCTTGTCTAAAACTTAAAGGTTTATTTAACTGGAACTTCAACACTGATGAAAACTTAACATCATAAACGAAAACTTAACATCTGGGGTGGAAAACATTCAAAGTGCTTTAAAGTAACAGCTATGCCGGCAACGGTGAAGAACACTTTCCTTTAAAAGACAGAAATCCATCTAGCCCTTTCGGCATATATCTCCATTTTAGTTTCGCTGATTCAGACATTCCGCTCCTACGTGTTTTGGACTTAAACGGCCAGGACTGGAACTGGAATAGGACTGGACAGGACAGGAACCGGAACAGGACTGGATCCGCAACAAGACGGGAACAGGGCGGGAACCGGAATCTCTCATCCCCTGGCTTCTCCCCGGGCAGGTCTATTCTGACTCGAACTAAAAGGAACTGCGGTGCCACTAAGGAAAGCACCTCCTTTTATTGCCGGCGGTTGCCGTTACTACAGGCGACTATGCAAATATTTAACGTAGAAGATTAATGTAGAAGAAAATCTTTAAAGACTCAAGGAGAAACCTGGGTTGGTTAATTTTAATGTTAAATTTAATTTAAATTTTGATCTGGAGAATGTTCATAATTTATGAGCAATTTAACAAGCCAAAGAAGTGAACTTCTCTCTGAGGGATTTGGTGCCTCTTTATTGTTTTCCTTCCTGGAGCTAGTTCATTATGTATTAGGTTCACTGGAATTTGTACTTATAGGGGTACTTTGGTGTTGGAGACATACTGTATATTTTCGGCACCATATTGTCATGTTACTCTCACAAGTATGTTTTTTATGTAATCATAGTGTTTTCTTCTCATTCTGCAATTGATTTTGCTATTTGAGATTTGCAAGATTTCATGTAAATCATTTTTACAATTTCGTTGATCTGAATACTGTCTATTCAGTATTTCTAGGTAATGAAAAATGCCATTATAAATGCAATACATTTATGGTTATTTAACTGAATTAATTTCACATCACAGATATTTCAAAGTAGAAATGTTCTATGCTATGCTAAATGCCATTTTTTATGTATGCCGTTTGTCTTATATTATTATTTTTTAATAGTGCAATGTTTATTAATTACTGTTATTTTTTTATTTAAATTTTATTTATTCATTTAAGAAGCAATAAATATGACTATCTTTTTTTATGGAGGCTATTTGTTTTATTTCATGTTTCTTTTTTTTAAGAGGATTTCGGGAACGAAACCAACAGAAATCAGTGGAAAAAATGACCAATGGAATTTTAATAAAAAGAGGAGAAAACTTAAAAACTAGTTTGGGGAAAGGGAATATCTAATATTCAGCCAAATAAGTGGGGAAGGAAATAAGTCATAATGTGGCAGGGCACCAAATGTACATGGTATGGCTTTAATGAAAATGTTCCCTTACAGGTTTTGAGTCTAAGGCTGCATTATAATGAAATGGTTTTCTTATATTACTATCAACCAAGTTCCTATTTACAATCTCTCTAGTGCAACAATCCTCGGTGTAACAGATGACCAATTGGTTAATTTTTTTTCCTTTAATGCTTAGTGAATTGATGAAGCCCATTTCCATGAAATTGGTTTGGGGTCAGGCAGGCTTCAAGTAATAGATCTCTAAACTTGACTATTTATTGAACCTGCTGCTCCTGTATAAATTATACATACTTTCTTAATCTGAACTATAATTAAACCCTTTTTTTCCATAGAAAGTAAACTTGTAAACTTTGTGGAATATGATTTTGCTGTACTCACAGTGTGCTAATGACATAACTACTATATTCAACGAGGGTATACTATATTTGGCATACCAAATATATATATACATATATATAATTCAGTTATTCGGGTTTTAAAATTATGAGACTTATTTATGATCTTCTTTTTTGGGTAGCTGGAATTTTACCAAAATATAAAATGTATATCAGATATAACTATTAATTTATCCTTAACTTGATACTTATTTAAATATATTGATTTGAGAAAGAATCCATCCCTTGAATTTGCTATGATACTTGTATTCACATATGCTCCATATGGTTTGGCAGAAGGCTTACATTTATCAGGTATGATTTAACTAAATTGCAAAGTAAAGTTTTGCTTAAAACGTTTTACTTAATTTGCCCTTTTAAATTTTGGTTATGTATTTTGCATTTTTTGCGAATTATCTTGATGAATTTAGTTATATTTTAAAATTTTTTATGCACAATTGCTTTTATTAATATATAAAAAATAAGTTTGAAAGTGATTAAATAAATGATACCAGTTTGATTAAAATGGGAAATATTATTTTATGTTTATAATTCATTACATCTGAAAAATTAGTCTTTTTTTAGTATGAAGTATACTTTGAGCATAGATAGTTTTCTGCACATTTTACACTTATAGATTTAATACACTGGAACTTTCCAGTGTGCTTCATGTTCTGTCCTGCATCTACTATCACAAGATTGTTTCTTAATCAGAGAGAAACAAATATGGCATTCTGCAGTCCTCTTTTAGAAGTTAAAATAACTGCTCATGGATAAAAATTTTTCTTTGATTTTTTAACTTGTTCTGATTTCTTCGTAAGATTTATTTTTTCTTTGTTTTATGATTTGGAATGGAAAAATAGAAGAAAGATTAAGTCTCTTAGGATTAAGATTATTGCGTATAGCCTTAGTTATATTTCTGTAGCATGTAAAAAATTTTATCTCCTAAGAAAAGCTTTAATTAAAATATAAAAGAAATGTTGAAAACAATATAATTATCTATGGGAGTTGAAGGGGGTGGAGGAATTTCAGTATTTAAGGCTTTACAAATTCTTTCTCTGGCTGATGTATAATTTTAAAGCAGTAAACTGAAATTATTTTTTTAATTGATCAATCAAAATCTTCATTCAAAAATCTCAAACTGTGCATTTTACTAAAATTCTTCTTTAACCATGTGTTTATTTAAATTTTTAGCCTGTTAAAATATAAGATTTAAATAAAGTGTTAGAAACAGTAAAATTCCTGTAGCAAATATCCTGGCCTATCCATACTTGTAAGTATTTTTTGAGCCACTTTTCAGCAAATTCATCTGAACCGCTTTTCAGTTTTGTGTGAAAATTACATATTTAAGCAACATTTATGTGAAAAATTATTTATTGGCCAAAATTAATAAGAGACAAATATAAATATTGTTATGCCTAATTATGTTGTTATGCATTTAATGTTGGCTTTTCTCAAACATGCTTTTATGTGCAATTCACTCATTTTATCTAGTTTGATGTTTTGTGTTCAACACACATTTTGAAATTTCTAGATGCAGATTTAAGCTTAGTATTAAAAAATAAATAAAAGTACAGCTACACTTATTATCTCCTCCTCCTTCTTTCTTTTCTTTTCTGTTGTGTTTCTTTTTCTCTTTGTTCTTGTTTCATTATGTATCAGTTCAATTTTGTTTGCAGAATTTTGATTTAAAAAGAGAGGGATTTCGTTTTTTATCATAGTCCTTTTGTAGTTTCCATGTTCATATGGATTTAAATCATTTTCTTATAATGGTTGTTCATTGTAATGATTTGTTACTAATCTTGCATATTTATCATATTGTCTTAAAAAATGTCAAGATGATTCATAGAATTCCCATGGTACCATTGTTATTTTTCTGAACTGATGGTGTGCCAAGAATTGGAAAGCTTGTTGAAGCAGGTGGAGAGCATTTTATTTTAATAGCAGTAAAAAATAAGATAAAATAAATTAATTAAATTAAAAAAAACTTAGTTTCAAAATCATCATCAGAAGATCAGGTTTTATGTGTTAAATTATAACAGGCTGTAAGTTTAGAACTTCCAGAATTGGTTCTAGAAATTATCAGAATCAGCCATTTCTGATGCACACAAAAAATTAAGTGTATAAACTACATTAAATAAAACCTAAAAGCTCTAACATTTGCTTGTAATAATAAATTAATAAAAGTAATAATTTTCAACAAAATTTATCCATGTAAAATGGTCAGAAAATACCTTATCCTAAAGAATTCGTGTGTTTCTGTGAAAAACAAGCAAAAAAGGTGGAAAGAAATTTTATTCTGCAATTATAATGCCATCTACAAATAAAATAGGAAAGTAGAGTAAATTAAAGGTAATAATCCAAATGCAAGGTTTAAAAATGTTACTTGTGAGCAAATCAACTCTGCAACAAAGAGCACCTGCTTGTATCAACAAAACTAAAAGTATTTAAACAAGAAAGAAAATATGTAGCTTTTCTTAAAAGACTTCATTTTTCAAATAATGTAATTGTTATTTCAAATAATGGAATTTTTGTTAAGAAAAGTATTTATGTATGAGATATGATATGAATTTTGTAGTCAAAATTAAATTTAAGATTTATTTTTGATTGAAACAGCAAGCCATAGGTAGATAAATGAGCATTTCCATATTTAAAGCTTTGTACAGTGAAAGCATATTAATATTTGTAACAGATTTCATAATTAATAACTATCTGTTATTTGTATATACTTAGTATGCTGAAATTAGCTTGCTAATAAAGAGATTTGTAACATAATTACAATTGTTTATTATAATTGAAATTTGAATGTTATTTGTGCACTTGCATAGAATTTTTTTTTTTTTTTTTTCAGGAATTATGTCTATATTGTTTAATGGGGTAGTAATGTCTCATTATACACATTTTAACCTTTCTCCAGTGACTCAAATAACCATGCAACAAACGCTTAGGACATTGGCTTTCTTTGCAGGTTAGTAGATGTTTGTTGTAAATATTATTAAGTATATCAGACTATTGTGGATAGAAATGTATCACGAAGCACCTACAGTAAATGTTTTTATTTATTGTTTTTTTTTTTTTTTTTTTTTTGTTTTGAGTAGAATAAACTAACTCTAAACTCCTAACAGATTTGGAGCGAATTATTACTTCATTTGAGAAGAACTATGAAGTCTTAAGAAGGTTTTAAAATAAACCTTTTTATTAAACCAAAACTAGAGCATAAATGCTCATCTCATTCTTGACAGATCAGCCAACCACTTGTGGTAATGAAATTTAAGTAACACTCAAATTCGGTGGTAAAAACTAAGTCTTTTAGCCAAAGGCTAGACAATTCATTTAGTATGAAGTTGGCTCAAATCTGTTCACTGGCATAACAATTTAAATGTCAGCAATCATAATACAAAGCATATAATCTTATCTGAGGTAGTGAAATGAGTAATGTGGTTTTAAGATGCAGAAACACTCTACTTTTAATGTAAACAACCTCAGCTAAATGATGTGACACTAAATTTGCATTCTGAAAGGGAAACGAAAGTGAGAATTGACAGTAAAGGTCTGAATCGTAAAGTAACTGGTTATGTAAAATTATAATAGCCTTACAAATGTTCCCCTCCAAAGTGTAAGTAATTGCTAACATTCTAAATTTTAACCTTAAAAAAGAGCCAACTTTTTACAAGAAATTTCTAAATCTAATTCAAGTTTACAGATGATGCACATCACTGTACAATTTTTGAGGACCTCACAGGAATTTTTATTCTTTTCTAGTCGTATCTTATCTTCTTCTGGGCATCTGGAAGTAAAAGCATTTGATTACTTTCCCCTTTTCAATTCAGCTTTATCAGAATCTTTCATATACTTTGCAAATATTTTACAATTTTATTTCTACTCTCTGCTCTCCAGCCATGTACTGAAATATATATGGGTGTACCACTGTACAAGTATTTTCAACTTGTGACCGAAATGGTACATGTTAATTAAGACACACTAGACCTCGACAAATATTTAAATTCAAACTAATCGTAATGTGCTGAGATTGAAATTTTCATTTAACTTTAGTAATGGTTAGAGAACCTAACTTTAACTACAAGCATTAACTAGTCTAGCTTTAACTTATTTTATCATAACATGCTAGCTTGCACTTAAATGTTTCCATTAACTTTACATCATTAACTTTAGTTTTATACATAATTAGCGTAAAACATCTGTATTTACAAAACTAATTTAGCAAACATACTTCATGAGACATTTACAATTCATTTATATTCAAAATATTATTTAGTGTGCACTTTACATCAGAATATACAGAAGTTGCTGCCAATTTATATTCTAACAGTATGCCAAACTTTTCTGAGAACAGTCTCTTGGACTCTTTCTTAGTCAAAAATCTCATATTCATACTATAAATAAAGTTATTTAGATTATGTAAAATTAATCTTCTTTTTGTATAACAAAGCTAAAATGTCCTTACTTGAAGCAAAATTTAAAATAGAAAGCAATTGTACTTTTATCATAAACTGAAAACTGATTATTTAAATAAATTTCGCTTATCTTTTGCTTTGGCTTCTTGCTACTCTCTTGCACAAATTTACTCCAAAAAGGATACGTGACCGTATATTGAACTTGTAATTTTCTGTGAGGTCACTGCTTAGCTTCCAGGTGATCTGGAGTTTTCCGCTTCTGGGCTTTTCCATAGATCCTGGTGGACTTTCTTTCTAGCTGAGAAACCTTTTTCAGTCAGCTACTTTGTTGCTCTTGTTCTCACTGTTGGCTCTCCATTGATTTTCCTGTGTCTTCGTTGACTTGCTGTTGCTGCGCCGTTGGAATCCTCCTATAAACTTTCTTCACTGCAGTGGTCCATCGTCTATCCCTGTGAATTTTGTCTAAGGTAACTGCACTTTTCTCCATTGCTATGAACTTATCTTGGCATTTGATTCTTCATGCATGGCTTATTGGTTACTTATATGCTCCCTGGATCCTGCTGTATCCTTGTAACTTTCCATTCTTTTTTGAACTTTTTCTTTTCAGTTGTCTGAACCTCCCTTTCTCCGTCAAATTGCTTCCTTTTGGCTTGTTGTTCTTGGGTCTGTTCTTTTCCTTTTCTCCAATTCCAGCCTGCATTCGTATTCTTTACGGAACTTGTATTCTTGAAGTTCATAGTAACTTCGCTGCCAATCCAGCTGGCCCTTCATTTCTAATGCCAGGTTTCCTGCAAAATGTCATTTAAAAGAGGCATATCAGTGTACTCAAAATAGCTCTTAATAATCTACATTTAGTTTTAGCGATTCTGCATTTGGAGCTCTGAAATAAACCACCATTTCTCATATTTGCTCAGTTAAGAACGGCTCTTCAAATTCATTGCAAAACAGTCCCACTTTTTCTTGAAGGGTACATGAAAGCAAATGTTTAATTTTCAAAACTTTAATCTCTCACCTTAAAATCAGATTCCTCCTTTTCTTATTATCATAAAATTTTTGCTTTGCTCTAGTCACATCAGAGTGCTTAATCTCCTCATCTGCTAGTTTCTGGATGTCTGCGATCTTAAATTCCTCAGCTCTCTTTTGAACAAAAAATAGTTTAACTTTCTGCTGAGAAACATTTCAGCTGGCATCCCCCTGATAGTATCGGGCTTAGCCATCCTCAAGGCATATGGAAGTTGTCACTGCTAAGTTTTTCATACCTGTGAATGATTTTAATAATATTTCGAGTCACCTGTTCTGTGATATTTGATTGCGGCTGATAAGGAACCATTTTAAAATGTTCTATGCTAAGTTCCAAATATAAAATTTCGAAGATTTGACTAACAAACTTTCTATTGCCTAGAATTACTTTTAATAGGGCTCTACATTTAATATAAATTTATTGGAAGTTCTTTTGAGAGATTTCTACCCGCTTCAAAAAGTGATCCGCGATTGTGAGCAAATATCTATTTTTATTATTTTCACTACATGGGTATTTGCCCATGTAGTGAAAAATACACATGGCCACTTGTTCTACATGGGTATTTACCTAGTAAGTTAGTTTCTGTTAATTCAACAGCAAATGTAGCTTTTACGCTATTTAGATACCCAGCTGGGCTATAATTAATAAACCACAGTCAGAAGAACTGCTAATGTTTCTCTTTCTGTAGCGTTTAATTTGAGTTGGATTAATAAAATATGCCACTAGCTATCCATTTGCATAAGCATGGCTCTTGAAAAAATCTGATGCTTCTGCAGTGATTTCTAATGTCCTGTTGGCATCGGGGAATTTTAAGACTGTTGTTTAAATCAATGTGATTTTTAATCTCTCAAATGCTGTATTTGCTTCACCTGACCAGGTAAATCTGGCTTTCTTTTTAAATTTAACAACAGCTGTACTATATGGGCAAAATCTTTGATAAAACATCTATAATAGGAGCATAAGCCCAACGTTAAGGCCAACCTTTTTCACTGCATTATGTGGAGCTTAATTTTTTTTTATTTCAATAATCTTGGAATCTTTGGTTTCAATTACTTTCTGAGATATCTTATAGCCAAGCAACCAGGGCTGTGGAATCGGAATCGTAGTCGAGCAGATTTTGGGGTAAAAGGAGTTGGAGCTGGAGTCGTTAAAAACAGGTCGACTTCAACTGCAGTTGGACAGTTTGAATTTGAAGTGAAATTAAAATGAATTGAAAAAAAAAATTAATGACAAGTTGAGTTATTATTTTTATTTATGGACTATATACATAATTAAATAGTTATTTTCTATTTTATTGACATATTGATAAATAAATATAAGGGAGGAGGATGGATGTGATATTTGCCATTAGTGATTAACTGATTCATTTAGTTACAAATCTCACTGGTAAATTTAGGTAAGCAGCAATAGCAGCAAGAACTCCCAAAATTGATGCCATTCTTAGGAAGCGAGCAGGAAAAGAAGCAATTATTGATCAAGCAATGCGATAAGGAAGTACGTATTTGATGATAAAAAGGTTGTTAGAACTAAGAACTTTTTTAGATATAGGTAACCCTAATGTTTTACTAACAAAAAGACTGTGGAATGATCTTGCAGAATTGGAAATTTTTCTTTCTACACTGTATATAGCCACAAAAATGCTGCAATCTGAAGAATTGACAGGAAGTGAGAATGGATGAATGTGATGTTTGTTGTTTCTGAAATGGAGGGTTTATTGCAGAAGGAATCATTTTTTCAATGAAGAAAAGATAAACTAGTTTGTTAGACAATGAGATCTTGCTGGGTTCAACATATGTAGATCCGAAACATCGAATTTTCTTGGATAACGAACAAATTAAAAAGTAAAAAAAAAGCCATCTATGAACTTTCATTAAGAAAAAAATTATTCTCAGAACAATTGAAGAATTCGAATCAGGACAGTCAAGCTGCAGACATTGCAACTGAGTCTCTATCGTCTTCTTCCAAAGATGAATTAGATTTTGAGAAATATTTTTGGATAATACTGAAAAGGGTAAGGCAAGCGAATGAAAATAAAGAACCAAGAGCCTTTAGATATGAAAATGAAAAAATACAAACAAGATTTCTACATGGTCTTTGAAGAAATAGAGAAATATGATTGTTATGATTGTGCTTGCAAGACACCTCTTTTAGAACTTATAAAAAATCTATCCCGAAAAGTTAAAAGAAGAAGCTCTAATGATAACAGCCCTTTCTTCTACTCAAGTTAGTGTGGAAAGACTGTTCTCAGCTCTGAAGTTTATCAAATCGGATCTATGGCCCTCCAACAAAGAAGGTCTTGCTGAAGCTACACTGTTTCTTAGAAATAACTAATGCCAGTTTTTCCATTTCATAATAAATGCTAATTAATATAAATAATTTGCTATGCCATCAATTTTTTTTCTGTGCATCTATTACTTCTTTTATATTAAAAAAATAAGCTGTAACCCATGTGTATATGTTTACATATATATCGGAGGGAGTTGGAGTTGAATTGACTCAGAGTCGGAGTCTTTAAAATTCTAGGAGTCGGTC